GTTGACGAAATCAACAATTATTTTTTCAAGTTTATCGATTTTATTATTTAAAGTATTAAAATTTTTTATTACTTCAGTATTTTGCAAAATTAATTTATTCAGAGTAAAATTTCTAGTTCTTTTTTCTGAAAATATTTCTTCTTGTATTCCTCTTTATGTTCCTTGTATTCCTTCTTGTGTTTCTTTTTGCATTCCTTCTTGTGTTCCAATAAATAAATATATAAATATTTTTTTAAAAAGAAATAAATTATTATATTTAATATTATTATCTTCAGTTAAATTTGATATCTCATAATTAATTTCTACTTCTGGTTCCATTTCTGTTAGGCCTGTTGAACATGCTCTTTTTTTATTTGACCTTTTCAGAGGTATGACCTTTTCTTTTTTTTTGTGAGGAGTTGACATTTTAAAGTAAGATTAAGATTATAACTAAAGAAGAATGTTCACTATAATAGTGATCACGAAGTGTTTTCAATTCTCACAGTTATATATTTATTTATTATTTTCAGAATACAAGATCTAATTGATTATATTCTAATTATTTTGAAAGGTTACAATTACATTTAAAATATTATAATATTATATTTGATATTTACTTTTGTATTATTAAAAGGTTAATATTTATTGAAGAGTTAATATAATATACCGTAAATATTCGAAAATAATCAAATGATTACTCCTTGATACTGAAATGGTAAATCTTCCTATACTGATATAAATTTTAGTAAATATTCAATCTCCTCGAAATTAGTCATTAATATTATATTTTATATTTAATTTAATAGATGTTCTCTAGTATTTTACAATTTTCTCTTTCACAAAATACTTAAAAAAAAGAATGTATAAAGGTCAATTAGGGACAGCAAGGATTAAAATTAAAATACAATAAAATTCTCTGTTTATATCACTGGTTGAAAATTGATAAAAACATACGCATATCGGATACCTGATATGTGCATGGTGTATCTCTAATATCAGGCATATATCGGGTACCCGATAAGTGTAGAAAATATTTTTTTACACTTATCGGGTATCTGACATATATATAAAATATTTTCTACACCTATCGGGTACCCGATATATGCCCGATATTAGGAACACACCATGTACATATCAGGTACCCGATATGTGTATGTTTTATCAATTTTCGACCAGTGTATATAGTATATGGATTCCATAATTAATAACTTTATAAATTTATTATGCAGTATAAATATAAAATAATAACATATACTTATTTCAGTAATTTTATAGTATGTAAACATTTGTTAAGAATATTACACGATCTGATAAAAACATGTTTGTTTATATACAATATAAACATAGGCTTACAATATTCATATGATAATAATTATTCTTATTTGAAAATTTTATTGTAAATATTATGTATGAATATTTGTAATATTATTTTATTGTAAATATTATATATGAATATTTGTAATATTTAAACAATGCTAATGCAAACTCATTGTAATTATTGTCTAGTTATTCTGAAAATCTTTAACTATAATATATTAAATCATCAAAGGTTTTGGGAATGTATTAATACTAATAAACTTTGGATCAATATGGTATCTAATAAAATTATAACAATAATATAATTACGTTCAGTAAATATAAATACTAATCTTAATTGTTTCAATAAATTCTAAAAGATATTGTTAACAATATAATTTTGTTATGATAAACTTCGAAGGATATTGTTAACAATGTAATATCGATTAAAATTGTTGCAATAAACTTCTGAAGGATATCGTTGACAGTGCAATGTCGATTAAAATTGTTGTGATAAACTCGAAGGATATCATTGACAGTACAATGTCAATTAAAATTGTTGCGATAAACTTCGAAGGATATTGTTGACAGTACAATGTCAATTAAAATTACTGTGATGAACTTTCACTGGTCGAAAATTGATAAAACATACATATATCGGGTACCCGATATGTGCATGGTGTGTCCCTAATATCAGGCATATATTGGGTACTCGATATATATATAAAATATTTTTTACACCTATCGGGTACCCGATATATGTCCAATATTAGGAACACACCATACACATATCGGGTACCCGATATGTGTATGTTTTATCAATTTTCGACCAGTGGTTTCTAAAATATCTAATTCTAATTTAATGCTACCAACTAAATGTGTTTCCAAGGAACCACATAATTTATATTTAATATTTGCCACTTCTTTGCATTTTAAATCTTTAATACTTTCACCAAGATCTAATTCATTATTTGTATATTCTTTAATAACTTTTACAATTGCTACTGGTGAATAATTTTTAATAGCTTCTTGTATAACTAATGTTCTAACAACTGTAGAATATTTAAGATAATCACTTTCTATTAATGTATGTGTGTAGTCTGGAATATTATTGTAATGTTTAATTCGAATTAATTTTTTTGAAATTACACAGGTAACTTTAATTTTTGCATGACAAATATTTGCAGGTCTAATCATTGTTGTTATTTGTTTTTTAATTGGTATATTTTCTTTTCATGTACTTGACTCACAATGTTTTGTAAAACAGCAGGCAAATACCTTCTATGATTTACCATTGTTAAGTTTACAAAAGTTAAATTGTATTCAAACATTTGAAACTAGAGGCTTCCAACTATTATCAAACTCTTCCTCTGTGATTTCAAGTGTATTTTTTATATTGAACAGAAGGGTATATTTTTCATTTGAAGTGAAGTGGATTGTTTCATTGCTTGATATTTTGATAAAAAGTAACTTGTAAAGTAAAAAAAATAAAAACAAATGATGTTTTTATTTTTTTTATTTACATGTTTATTATATTTATTCATTTTGTATATATAAATCATATATTTTCAAGTAAATATATTAGAATTTTTATCCAATAGAAAATTTTTATACATGTGATACGATCACACTTCTGCCTTAATCTGAAATCACCTCACGATTCTACTCCACTTTAGCCTACCCCCCTTTATATACATAATTGAAGTTATAATAGATTAACACTGTAGACTACACTAATGTATACACTATTAATTACACTGATGTATACACTATTAACTACACTTTCTACTACATTATCTATTATACTGTACATTACATTATTGAATACACTATTGATTACACTGTATACTATGCTGTTGATTACACTCAGATCTACAGTTGTAATACTTAATAGTTGTACCAATTTCTAAATAATTTACATTAATAATTTCTTATAAATATATACTAATAAAATATGAAATTAATCTAATAAAATATAATTAAACTAATAAATACATGATGATAAGATAATAATATGATAAATAAGATAAAAATATAATAATAATAAATAAGATTTAATTACTAGGATCAACAATATAAATAAAATAGCATTTATGGCATGGTTATGAAATTTTACCAATCTTAAATATCATGAAAATCTTGGAATTTGCAACTTTTGAAAATTTATCTAATATAATACAAAATAATTTCAATAATAAAGCTATTATGATCAGTATTGTTCAAAAATTTTCTTGATATTTATTTATAAGATAATATAAATTTATTAATTTGAAATATATTAATAATATTAGAATACAATTCTTACACAACTTGATAAACTCAAAAGACATTTAAAATGTGGTTTTGAAGAAGAATTAATAATCAATTCAGATGGAACAGTAATTCGTGATCCTTGTATCTCTCATTGTTTATTATTTGCATTTGGTAAGTGTAATAATAAACATCAAAAATGATGTTTGGAATGTGATCAATTTTTTGAATTTTTTGATTTATGATGAAAAATATTTCAGAAATATATCAACTAAAAATTACTGAAGAACAGTTGTTATATTTTCTTTCATATAAAGCACACAAGTTTTATTTGAATTCTCAATTCAAAACAACCTTATTTGAGTTGGATTCAGATGGTACAGTTATTATTGCTGATTACAAATGCAAGTGCTACCACAGTCAGCACATGAAACAAAGCAAGATTTTTTTGGAAAATGAGAATAGACCCTTCATATAATTTTACTTTTCACCAAAATGTAAATTCTAAGGAATTAAATATTGAAGTCTACAATCATTGGTCATTGGATATCAAGCAAGATGCTTGGTTTACTGTTTCTGCATTTGATGCTGTTTTTGAAGCTATCGAATAAAAATCTAAATGGGTTAAAATCATCTCTAATAATGGTCCACACTATCATAATTCTAAATTAATGGCAATTGTAAGTTATTGACATGATTGGTATAACATTGAAGTAAGAAGTTGGCTCTTTCTTGAACCTGGTGAAGCAAAAACTATAATTGATTCTCATCATGTAGTGGTGAGTTCAAATTTTTTTAATTACTTTGATTTGTAAAACTAATTATTTCATGTATTTTAAATTACACATACAATCAAATGATATTTGTAAATTGGACATGATATATCAAGTGGTGAAGATATAGTTCGAGCAACAAGAAATTTATCAGGAACCTATTTGGCCAATCTTGAACCAAATCGTAACAATGAAATTGAAGATGACCATGAATTAGGAATAACTAATAAATCAAAGAATACAAGAAAAAAATAAAAAATAAAAACAATCAAAGGAATCTCAAATTTTTTTTATAGGGAATAGCCATGTCAAGATAAATATGAAGGTTATGTATGTGCTCGACCATTACCTCATGTTGAAATTGGAGTAATTTTTCACCATCATATATAGCGGACCTTTGAAATTCTCTTCTCTATCAATCTCAACCATTAATGTCTCAATGTACTATTCCCAAAATCCAATGGACTATACTAATTACAATGGAATCTGATAAGATATAAGATAATTATTTAAAAAAATATATATATTGAATCAATACTAAAAATTATGTTTTGTTGTGCTGTTTAAATAATACTAATATAATTTTTTATATAATTTAGATACAACAGAAAATATAAATAAAGAAAAAGAAATTGAAGGTAATATATAATTCTAAAATTATTTATTTGAAAATAAAAAAAAAAATAAGGATAAAATATATTCATTTTTATTGAATAAATAATGTTAATACAATTTTTATATTATCTAGATACAATGAAAAATATAAATAAAGAAAAAGAAATCGAAGATATATTTTTAAAAATTACTTATTTGAAAATAAAAAAAAAAATAAGAGATAAAATAGATTCATTTTATTGGATAAATAATACTAAAATAGGTTTTGAATAATCTAGATACGACGGAAAATATATATGTATATATAAAAGAAATTGAAGGTAATATATAATTCTAAAATAACTTATTTGAAAAAAAAAAAAAATAAGGATAAAAATAGATTTTTTTTTATCGAATAAATAATACTAATATAATTTTTGAATAATCTAGATACGGAAAATATAAATAAAGAAAAAGAAAAAGAAATTAAAGGTAATACATAATTCTAAAATATTTGTTTGAAAAATAAAAAAAAATGAGGGATATATACATATATCATATATGTATTCTTCGAAAACTATAGATGTAATAGACCTGACTGGGAAAAATAATGATGTAAAGAATATTGGTAAGTAATTATACAATATTCAGTACTTGTATTTCTTACATATTAATAATTTTTTTTTTGAATAGATTCAGAGTTCTCCTTAGCGAAAGGATGGGCATTAAAAAGTAATCAAAAATTTGGTGAAAAAGGAGGGAACAGAATGATGAAAGAAATAAAAGTACTATTAGAATGTTTTTTTCTAAATAGAAATCGAAATCAAAAAGATAAAATGAATACTCAAGATATGCATACTGAACTTTTGAAATATGTTGAAACTGCTGAAGAAGATATTCCTAAAGTAAGCACTATACAAAACTGGATAAGTACATATGCTCGCAATTTTAAGGAAAGGGCAACAGAACATGAATTAAATAATAAACAACATTATTATATTCGGGTTTATATATACTGAGGCAGCACGGGCAATACAAAAATCACGGGGATGATAGAGGATGATAGGTGTCACTATTTGGATGAATTATCCTCGTGTGTCATCCATCATCCAGGATGACTGT